GGTGCATTCCACCTCGCTCACGAAAATCGCTCCCTGACGAGAGGAGTCTAAATCTTTCGCTTTGCAGGATACGCTCAATCCCTTCATGCTGAAGACCCGAACGACCGAGAGCTAGCCAGGAGTCTGATTTCGGCGAAGGCCCCTGGAGTTTACGTCGGAGTCCCGAATGATTTGAGCTGGCTGCAAGACTGTGAGAGGTATACACGGAATCTGCAGCCGCAACCCGCGTACTCCCTCCACCACGGAATTCGCGAGATCTCGATTCCCGCGATTGCGAAACCGGGAAAATTGTCTAAATCCACCAACCCCCGTTTCAGAGTCGACTTCCTTCTGGACGTAGGCAACGTGCGCTCCATGAGCGCCTTCAGCATGTGCCAGTCGAGAGTGGAGTCGACCGGAGCTTTCATTATCATCTTGAAGCCATCCGATCTGCAGATGGCCAACAACCTTGTGCCTCTGCTGCGGAAACGAGGAAGAAATATACCGGCCGAGCTCGAGTGTATGTATCTCGTTTCGGAAAGCCTGAGGGAGAGACTTCTGTGAGAGAGGCGTGATTTCTATCGACAGAGATCATTATATCGCCCCACATTATACTCTCCGCACTGTCCACTGAGTTCTCGCGGTAGAGTGCTCGAGCGACAAGTCAGAGACCTTCGGACAGCGTGGTTTGGGGCGCTCGATAGACGATGGGTACACATAGGGTACAATGGAACCCAATGGAGGGTTTTCGATAGAATTACTAGCTCACTCGAGGTAGCTGCTTGTGAGGTCCGTCGCTCGAATTTGCTTTGTTCAGGCTCACCTTTCGATGAGCAACTCGGCTATGGTAGCCACCAATAATTTAAGTAATTTGACTGCCTATCGAACGACTGAGGTATTATTCGACCGCTTTTGATGTTCCACCATCGAGCCCATCCTCGAGGAAGGACATTAACAATAGATGAAGTGAAGAAGTGGTCCGTGGACCACGACAAACGTGAGTTTCGTTCGTTCTAATCCGTGGATATTCATCGCTTGTACTTGATCAGATCGAGCAGGTTGCCGTCTTTGTCGCACAACAATAAAATCCTCCGCGATCTGGGCTTGTGCTTGCGGCATACTGTCTCTTCTTTCCGGACGGATGTCGAGGAATATCCAGCCGTAGAATGGTACTGGATTCCGTTCGGAACTTTCCCGTAATCGTCGCAGGGGCTCTTCTCCGGAGGCTTCCAGGGGCTTGACAGTGAAGCGATGCGTCGGTCCCTCGCACGGCAGTCACGCAAAGCTCCGTGCACTATTTTCTCGCAAACAAACGAAATTAGACTCATCAGACTCGTACCTGCGTACAATATCATCAATCCTGGAATAGAGAAAACAACAGTAGCGACATATCGGGACGCTCCAGAACAGAATTAGATCTCGATGGAGGGAGGGGGGTCTTTTGTGGAGACGGGCATATTGGACGTGAGAATATCGAACACACCTTTCAGGTCCTCGGGAGTCAGTTTCGAGTTCGGCGGCAAGGGTTTCTCTTTCTCGAAACGGGGCTTTATCTCGTAATTTTCTTTTTCATTGATCCGTTGGAAGATGCCCCCCTCGAAAAGCTTACCTTGAAGTCCAATCGAAAAATCATCTTTTACTTCGGACAATAGCGTTCGAATAGAGAGGAGTGAAAGACTCGATTCGATAATTCGCTCAAACCCACCATTCAGCTTCATCACCTGCTTGCTGATGGGCGACCCCTTCTGTACAGGCAATCAGTACCTTCCAGCGAAAATGTTGTCCCTAGCTCGGCTAATGGCCTGAGTGTGAGGATTGGTGCCTATCTCCGTCTTCAAATTGTAGTCGGCTTCGGTAGACATCGAATTCGAGATCGAATAAAGAATTCGTTAGAATGACGAGGTCAATGCCCCACAATATTTCAGGCGGTTGTGCGCAGTGCAGTGAGGGGACATCGGTAACATTTTGGTTCCATGTGTGCACCTGATGCTTGCAGGTCCCGTTTCTGAATACATAAGCTTTGAGTGCTGGGATGCCTCTGATCAAACTTTTCAGCATCGCAACTGCGTATCAGTGTTTCCGCCAGAAATCGCAGACGAGAACTCTGAGGAAGCCGCGGCCTCAAGTCGATCTTCATTGGGTCAAGGATTCTGGAGCGTTGGAAACTCCGCTGAAGCCTCCTCAGAACAGAAACACTCTCTCACGAGTCGAGCACACCTAAAATCGTCTCCATTTCCCTCTCCTTCTCATCAACGGTTCTTGTTTTTCTCCTCCTTCCGAAAAACGAAAGGCTCGGGCTTAAGAAACGTGGCTAGGCACGTTTCACAATACCCCTCGATGGGTTCCTGGACGTGACCATCGAACTTGAGTCGTAGATCTATCGTACCCTTGAGATATCTCATGATCCGTTTGACGGCTATCCAGTGTTTTCTTGACGGGTCCGAGCAGTACTGACTCACGGCACCCACCGTGAAGCAGATATCGGGTCGGGTTGTTTGGGATATATGGATCAAACATCCTACAGCTTCGCGATACGGCTCTTCGATGGCTTCTTTTGACCAACTTCAAGCCAGCCTTGGTCGGGGTATTCAAGGGTTTTGAATCAATCATGCCGAAATTGCGAAGGGCTCGTTCGATGTTTTCCGATTGGTCGAGAAATATGGCCTTGTGGTCCGGTTGTTGATGAATCCTCATCCCTATATAGTATTGGGCAGCTCCGAGATCTTTGATAGGGTAGAGTCTTCCGAGTTTCCTGATGAATTCTTCTTGCAGGTCCGAGTCGCTGCTGAATATTAGGAAATCTATCACATGGATTGTGATCACGAGTACTTTGTCGCCTCTTGTGGTCGTGTAGCAGCATCGGTCTGCTTCGAATTCCTCGAGGCCAATCCCTTTCAGGGACTTGACCA